TGCTGCTGCTCTGGGGCTGGCCGCACTCGTAGCCAGGAGCGGCGCTGCCTCAGCTGGACCAGAAGTCTGGTTTTCACGGGAAGCACAGCTGAGAAAGGCTCCCAGCAGGATCTGATCAGCCAATTAAAACCAGATGCTGTGCTGGCAGGCAGGCTGCTGCGGATGGTCCCGTGCAGTCCCCTTCCCTCCTTTGTGTACATGATGTCCTTCCAAGCGCAGCCCCCTCCCGCAGGGCTGCGTCCCAGTTGCATCAGGAACGTTGGCGGCTTTTCGGTCCCGCGTGCTGTGAATGGTTTCTCCATTTCACATCTCTCAGAGGGGCCGCGGAGGCGAGTGCCCGGCTGCTCTCAGCCACGCACCTGGTGTGCACGGGAGGCAGAGCACTGCGCAGCCCTTAACCTTCACACAGCACTTTTCTCCCTTCTCCTGGAGCAAAGAGCTCCAGCTACTCTGGGACCAGAGCAGGAACTTCCTCCCCCCCCACCCCACACGCTTTGCTTTAGGTTTAAGCAGACGAGCCAAGAGGGCTCTGCATCCTGACATCCAGGCATGAAACATCTTCCTCTCAATTCAGTTTTGGAAGGAAATAGCACCTTGCAGCAGCTTCGCTCGCCTCTCCCTGCTCCAGCGTGAGCTCATCCCCATCCTCAGCCGAGCCCAGCGCAGGGACTGCACCTTGCTGGACTCCGTTGTTTATCCCTCTGACTTGGGACTAATTCCTTTCCCAGAGGAGACTGAAGAAAAATCCAGCGGGCCAGTGGCCTTAGGAGTACAGGCTAGGCATTGGTGCTCGTCCTCCTTGGCACTGGAGGACCACAAACTGAGTTGTTGCAGGTAGACTACTTCTTGCCCTCTTCCCCAAACACCACTGAAACCCTTCTCTTACTTTCCCAAGATGGTACTTGCTAGCAAGTCACTGGGATCTGTTTCTGTTGAGCCAGAATCAACATATCCAGGAATTTCTGTAATACAGTGAGAGGTGCAAACACGTTTCAGATTGGGACTATTCACTGGGTTGCCTGGTCACAGATGTCACAGGAGATTGAGCCCAGAGAGGCCAAGGAAAGGGAATAAGCTCCTTGTGCTCTTGTTTTTCATTTCGACAAAGGAGAAGGGCTGATATCAGCCTGTGGAGCAGCAGAACCACCTAAATTAATTTCACATGGAGCATCCGCTCTCAGCAGCAGGATGCTAATCCTTCGCAGCACTACAGCCACATAGTGCTCAGGGACAGACCAGGGAGAAGGTCTAATGCAGCACAAAGCTGAGGCAAGAGGCACGTAAGACAGAAAAACACAAGGTTTTAGGCTACTGCTGGGGAAGAGAAGATGCCAGAGAAACTCAGCAGCTCTGTTTTCATTCTAGGGTCTTATATGCAGGAGAACAGAGGGGAAAAAACAGCTCAGCTCTAAGTTACGTATGTGGCAAATTCACATGGGCTCAACGACCTGAAGAAAGTTGACGTTCTGACTTTGCCCACAACTTTTTGCCACTTCCTACTGCCAACAGCATCTGGTTAAGAAAGAAGCACAAAACACCAGGAGCAGCAGCCACCAGATACTTTACCTTTCGCTGCCTTGGCAACTGCTTGAACCTGCGACTTGGCCAAACGACAACAGGTAAGCCAAGATACTTGGAGTCACCTGTCCATGGTCAGAGATCAGCTCTTGGGACATCTGATGGCAGTGTGGGCAAAGGAATCCAGGCTGCTTTCAGATGAGGTGTGGCTAATGGGGGCCCAAGCACCGCATCCGAGTTTTACTGACGACACGATGTCACTCCCCTGCCAGCATCACACAGGGAGTGACGGTGGCACTAACGACACTCGGTTACACTAACACACTTCCCTACGGAGACCCCGGCGTGAGCATACTGATGGTGTCAAACAGCTTTAAGCCAGGCAATAAAATCGTCACCAGAACTTGTAATTCTGCAGTGACCGCGCTGGGCAGAGGCGTTAAAACGCACGGAGTTCCGACATACCCAGCCTGCCTCCCCGGCCTCTGCGAGAGGAAAGCATCGTACCCACCCTTAACTAGGGCATGGCGGTGTTTATCTCAGCCTAAACCAAATGCAGGTCAGCTGCTTTAATGCAATTTTTTTCTTTTTGCACATTAGAATTAAACAATTAAGCTTTTTAATAGCAATGAATATCCTGAGCACTTCAATGATTTGATCATCCCCCCCCCCCGCCCCCAAGCATGTTACTTTTAAAAGTCTTTGTTAAAAAGAAATTGTTAAATTGCCACAACTCCAGACTCACTGGAAAATGCAGGATCTTTGCAGCACAATGCAGGTCTGTCTTGCCCCTGAGATTTGTGAGACTTGGGTAGAAAGTTTTTTTAAACCAAAGTCTTTCAAGGGAAAAACATACACAATAAGATGCACGGTGCCAAGATCTCCTTGCCTTGCGAATGCTCTGGAGGCGGCTTCGCACTTCACTGAGCCAGATAATGTCTTAAAATGACTGGAGTAGGGTTTGAAAAACGTGCAGACCGAGTCCTAAGAAGAACTGTTTAGGTTTTATGACTCAGCCATCTGGGAGCTGAAGGGACAGAAACCACCTAAAAACGGCGAAGCAGAGAGTTCAGTTTTCGCAATACGCCCTGGCTCACCTTTACTCTGCCTATTGAGGGGACACTGGCTGCCCTGCAGCAGCCCCCCTGGAAATGCCAGGGGTGTGAAAAACAGCAGGTGGTTCCTGTGGGTGGAAAGCTACACAAATCATTAGCGAAGCATGGAAAATTCATCGCTGGCTATAAAAGTCACTAGGCAAGGGCAGCTGTAAACAGCTAGGTGAAAAGAGCAGGTAGGGACACGTGGTAGCTGCTTGTAAGGGCTGCTGCTATTTCCTTCTCAAAAACCACCAGAAAAGTGCCGAAAGAATCCCATGTGAATCACAGAACAGGTTGGGTTGGAAGGGACCTCAAAGACCATCCAGTTCCAACCCCCCTGCCATGGGCAGGGACACCTTCCACTACACCAGGTTGCTCAAAGCCCCATCCAACCTGGCCTGGAACCCTTCCAGGGATGGTGCAGCCACAGCTTCTCTACTGACCATATAAGGTGCAATGTTCCCAAGTATTAACACCAAGGTGGTTTTCCATCATGCTGCAGTGTCCAGCTTTAGCAGCACCTTGGATCCAATAATGGAATCACGTAAGGACACTGGGGAGCACCTAAAAAGCAAAAGCACTTGCTTTTCACATGTTGTAGCTGTGGGACTGTGAAACCCCAGCCGAGTTCTTACCTGAATCTGTAACTGACATACCAACATGCTGAGGATATGTGCAGTATAAACATGAAATTAACAGGAGGCCAAGGTAGGAAAGAAGGGAGAATCTGTCTGGCCCGTATGTCACTGCACTCCTGACTCACAGAAAGCTCTTTCAGACTGCAAACAAATCGTGACATGCAATTACGTGACCAAGACCAAGGGAGAACTTTTTTGCCTGTTTATCCCAAGAATTTACAGTATCTTTAAACAGGAGATACACCTTTTTGGGTTTGGGTGTTTTTTTGTTGTTGTTTTTTTGCTATATGCACCTACAACTTTTGCTTATGCTTAAAAAAGGTAGTTCTTGCAGCAGCGGCAGAAGGAGGAAAACTGAAGTTTGATAGAGACAGAGCAGCAGATACAAGTCAGGGCAGGACAGTAGCCAGAATGAAAACATGAAAATCATACCATCATTTTCATATTCACTACTGTTGTGACTTTCTTCCTACCAGGGATTCCGCATTTGGGACTGCCATCCCTGACTGTGTTTTGCAAGGGACCTTCTGCCTCCTCTGTTAGCTTTCCATTGGCAGGCTGAAACACTTTCCACCTCCAGTTCCATAAGTACCCTGTGGCTGAGCTCTTACGTGTGTCATGTCTGTTAAAATCAGCAGGTGCCAGCACAACAGGAATATCAGCACACAGATATCTCTAAGAAACAGTCTCTGCCGCCAGAGGCTGGGGTTGGAGTCACCGTTTCCACCTCTTCTCCATACATACTCCAGGCAGATGGCATTCATATATCACCCAAACACATCTGGCCATGTCAAAGGAGAACATAAACAACTACAGTTGGAGAAAAGAAACCGCAAATTCTTTTCAATTTTATTCTTACTGGGAGGGCAGTGGCATCCTGACATGTCACATCATCCAGTGAAAACCGACAGGGACTATCGAGGCTCCTGGCTCACCTAGCATTTATGGTACTAAGTCTTGCAGAAATCTTGGCTTGGCTGTAGTGCTTTGTTCAGCCTGCAGACACGGCATTCCCAATTCCAGAAACTTTCGCTGGGTCAAGACCAAAGTAATCAGCACTAACAGAAAGGGAAAGTAACTAGACATGAAACACAAGAGACCATCTGATGAGCAACGTGTCAGGCTGGTACTGCACGATATTTGCACAGACCAGTCAGAAATGAGTATTACAAACGGAGCTGGAAAATGGTAATGGTGGAAAACATGATCAAGAACTTTCGATGGATTTCCCAGAAAAGAGAAAGTCTGTTCAGAAATAAATGTAACAGCTTCAAAAAAACAACCAAACAAAACGCACCTAGTGACCTTTAAATCAACTTCTCCATTGGATAAATATATTTGAAATAGTTGTACAGTTCACAGTGGCGTAAAGTTCTCTGATTGCTTGAGTGCTTGAAAATATCTCATCAGTAAAAAAATACCAGAGCTGGGGGAGGAAAACCCTCTCTCTGAATTCTGTACATGGGCAAATGCACAGGTTTTGGCAGGCGTCAGGTCAATGGATCCATGGGAAACCAGCAGCACCGCAGGACTGCGGATCACAAGTCGGGGGACGGAGGATAAGAAGAATAGTAAGGCCCATTTTCCTGCAACGAGAACAGAAGGTGCAGTTGGACAAGAGTCTTCTCCAGTGCACCCTGGAGAGGCAGAAACAAACAGGTACCCCTGGCTTCATCTTCCGCGAGTACAGCGACTGCCACAATTCACCCAGGAGAGGACTGCTGGTTGTCAGGGAAAAACAGACCTTGGGTTTGCCTCTGTTTTCAGCAAAAAGTGTCAGTTAAAATTTTGCCAGAAAGCCCAAGCTGTGATGCCAGGAAGCCACAAATGCCAGCACAGCCAGTCACTCCAAACGAAGTTGCTTACACAGACACACAGCTCTGGCTGCTACTTTGTCGTTACAGCACGTCCTCTTTGGAATGATTTGGCCAACGCAAGGCAGATTCATCCCACCCTTTGGTTAGAGGCCTGGCATGGAGAAGGGACAACACAAAGGCAAGGAATCCACCTACAGTTCCATTTCCCCCCCCCCACCCCTTCCTGCATGCTTGCTGATACACGGGACAGGGAAGATGAAACACTGAAAGCATTTCTTTTTGCCGTCGGTGTAAGGTGTGTAGCTGGTGCATAACACCAATTTCATCTTGTCCACAGGCTGTTAGCATGTTCTGCTACAGCCTTGGCCAAAGAAAGGCAGTCTGCCTCATTCACATAGGAGACTGCTCTATTGGGAAAGGAGTCTGCCTCTCAGCCAAGCCCCCTGCTTAGTCTGAGGAAGGAAAAAAAAATAAAATTATTCACAGAAGGACACCTAGATTCCCCAGGAACCATCCCTTTCTCCCCATTCTTAAGCTGTGGAAGTCAGCCCCTTTAAAGCTCGTGCAGAGCAGAATGGGAGGAGCACAAGAACTGCACTTAAGAGCAAAGACTCGGCGCATGCGGTCACTTACCCTGGCATCGTACTCGAGGACGAACGGGGGGAGATCGATCTGCTCGGGGGGTATGGCTGTGAATAACTGCTGGAGGCTCTCCACATAGTGGATTTTGTCCTTTAGCCCTGAGACTGTAAAGGTTGTGAAAAACCATGCCGAGACCTGAAAATAAACCCCAGCAAAACCAAATTAAGATGGTGCAGTTTCAAAACTTTCAAGTTCAACATGATACTCCCCAGTTAAACAGGCTCGAGTTAAGCTTGAAACAGAAATATCATGGCAATAACAGAACAGGGTCAGGAAGCCCACATCACTGGCTGCTGGCAAACACGGTCTTGTGAGCTTTCGAGCCACTGCGTTCCGACTCCACGCTCACCCCTCCCCAACAGCTGCTTTAAGGCCCCTTTCTACTGCACAAGCCTGGCAGCTATTCTGCTGCTTGTTTTCAAAAGCCCTCTGGATGCTGGCACATTTTCACTTCCAGTTTAGCCAGCTCAGAATATGATCTATTGGACTTTATATCAGATAGAAGCATTTTCAACACTTTGCCTTCAAGTTTACACAGAAAATGCAACTCCATGGAGAGAAAAAAAGAGAGAATTCCAGCTGTTCAAAGGCCTTACTGATATCTCCTCTCTGCTTTGGGTTGGCTGAGTAAGTAAGCGTGTCCTTCTGTTTTACCAACACTTCTTATCAAAGCCATATCGGCTTATTCTACTAAATTTTACTTTAAGCACACACACCTCTGTCTCTTTTGGATACAAAGAGGATAAGGAATTTGTTTTGTGAAGGCCAGTAAGACACCATTGATATTTCCACAAGTTATTAAATACTCCTGTTTATATTGACTGCACAAGCTTTTAAACTAACCATCTCCAAAATTAAGCACTATATTACTTTCTGTTTATTTCTTATCCAGTTTTTTCCTAGCAGACTGAAGGGAAAGAAAAGAAACCTGTGAGAACAAGCAGTTACTGTTCTACATGTCACAAATGCTCATATTAGGGACCACTCACATACAGAGTCACAGAATGGTTTGGGTTGGAAGGGACCTCAAAGATCATCCAGTTCCAACCCCCCTGCCGTGGGCAGGGACACCCTCCACTACACCAGGTTGCCCAAAGCCCCATCCAACCTGGCCTGGAACACTTCCAGGGATGGGGCAGCCACAGCTTCTCTGGGCAACCTGTGCCAGTGCCTCACCACCCGCAGTGTAAAAAATTTCTTCCTTACATCTAATCGAAATCTGCCCTCTTCCAGTTTAAAGCCATTGCGCCGTGTCCTGTCACTACACGCCCTTGTCCAAAGCCCCTCTCCAGCATTCCTGTAGCCCCTTCAGGTACTGGAAGGTCTCCCCGGAGCCTTCTCTTCTCCAGGCTGAACAGCCCCAACTCTCTCAGCCTGTCTCCATAGCAGAGGTGCTCCAGCCCTCGCATCATCTCTGTGGCCTCCTCTGGACCCGCTCCGACATGGCCCTGGGCAATAAGCTCTTGCTGACCTGGCCTGAGTGGGGAGGCTGGACCAGATGACCTCTGGATGCCCCTTCCAACCTCAGCCATTCTCTGATTCTGTTTGGTTGTTGTACTTTGACTGCAGTCAAAGAAAAGAAGCAACACCACAAGAAAAGCCTTGAGGAAAGCGAGAGTTTCAAATAAACTAAAACATTAGCTCCATAAAAACCATCTGCCTGAATATGACATTTAAAGAAAGAGTTAATACCTAAAAGCTCTCCTGGAATAACTACTTTCATGAGAAAGGAACAATGAAAAAGGGAAAAGGAGGTAAAGAACAGGACAGAACATTTAAGATTGACTCTATTTTAAGAACAGAATTAGAGATTTACATTAGCAGAAGGCAGGGAGACAGACTATGACTGGCACCCATTATTTACCATATTTTTCTAACAAGACCTCTTATGAGGGACACTGGATGGCAGCTTAGTGAGTGAAAAACACCCTCTCAAGCCTGCACCGAAGCAGCAGGTATTCCGAGGCGAATGACAATCATTAAACATAACTGCTACGGAGGTTTGATGTATAAAAGCCTAATAGGGAATAATTTTGCAGCCATCACAAAAACTGATATTGGGAAAAGCAATTTTTCTTCTCCCTCCTCTCAGCATACAAGCCATTGCAGTGTGACACATCTTACCCAGTAACGCAGTAAAAAAGGGGAAGGGGCCAGAAATGTTTCTAGAGAATTTTTCTATTTTCTCCTTTCTCAATAATCAGAGGTTATAGGAACAGTAACACAAGAACAGCCGTTTCCTTATCAGTAAGAGGACAAAGAACTTTAAACTAACGAATCCCTGTTAATGCACTGAGAGCAGAATAAGTTACACCAGAGCAGTCAAAATGTTAAAAATCTAGTTGTCCACTGAAATTTTGTTGTCCTGCAGTTCTGAATCCAAATAAGAGGCTATTTAAGTCACTCTGCCAAGCTAGAAAACCACGGAGTTAACGTAACAGATGTCTTTCCCTCAAAAAAACCCAGCAGAACACAGGAAAGCGTGTCACTAATCTCTTCATTGGGTCATACCCCAAAGACAAGCTTCCTCCCAGTTGTAAGAAAATTTCCCAGATTGTAGTAGCTTGTGTAGAAAAAGCCGTAAGCGATTTTCAGCCACCTTTATACTGGCACCTGATCTCCAGAGAGCGCTGTTATGACTGCTACAGAAAACCAAGACAGAAATCGTTCACCATTCATGGAATGATTATGACAACTATGAACATCTAATCTGAGTATTCGGGTATGGTTCAGTTTTAAAACACTCTCCGTTTACAGCCAAGTTACTAAATTTACGAAAACAGAATTTCTCTGGGCGGGATTGTTTCAGATGCAGCCACCGACGCGTCACGCAGAGCACACCAAGCTCTACAAGCTTTGTTTGGAGAGGTCCCAGGAGAGGGGAGCCGGGAGGCTCCATGCAAAAACGCCCTGAAGAGCCCTTTATTTGTATATTTACTTGTATTGCAGCTACGGCAATAACAAGTGGAAGGACGTTTTCACGCAGACGTACGAAGGAACCTGTGACAGATCAAGATGCCCTCGAAGTGCCAAGTCCTGCTGGTGCAGTGCCCCCGCTGCAAGAGCCGCTGCCGTTACCTGCGATGCCGTTTCATCTCCGGAACGGTTCCGATGCAGCAGCACGAGAGCCGAGCCCTTCGCAGATGATGAGGATGCTCAGGGCACGAGCAAAGGCAGGATTCACGTACAGAAACGCACGGTGCAGCAACACACCCTGCCTCAGTTCCTCTGCTTCAGGATACCTGCTGAGCCCCCTCCCTGCACGCTGCAAAGCAGATGTTCTAGAGAGCAATTCCCCTCGGAATACACGTCTAAACGACAGAATTTGTCACATCCAGAAACCAAAGACCCATCCCTGGCCCTGTGAAGCACTTGCAGAACTACACTTGTTTTCTAGGGGCACGTGAGTTTCCACGAGGCAGGAGGAAAAGCCTCTTGATCCCTTTTGGCCAGAAACGAGCAACGCGGCTCCAGCAGACGGCAAATCCACTCTGTCAGGATCCAACAGGCCGGGCAAACGGACCATTTACAGCAGAGATTTACGAGTGAGATCCAAGTCCAAGGATGATGGGTTTGGGAAGCTGCATGAATGCACGAGCCTTCCTCCTACATTTGAGACATGGGGTGTTTTCCACTGTTTCTAGGGAAGGAAGTCAAAGCTACAAGTAGGAAGATGAATGTGCCAAACGTTTTTAAAGAGATTTGTGGCTTCTGGGCTAGCAATCTTCCACAGGGACAGCAGCCCTGTATTAGCCAAAAAAGGAGGGGAGAGAAAAAGAACCATTCCCTCTTAGCAGCCACCTTCTCCACCAAGACTTTCTGCTGCATATTCCCCGTTGTGTTTCATAAGCTGATGGTCTCTGCAACAGCCCGCGGCAATCAATCCCACTTGCCTGTCAGTTAGAGAACAGGCTTGGCAAAAAGACGTGGACACACATCCTCTTCTGCCTCCAGCAGTGCTGCTAGAGTAGGATACAAAGCAATTCCATTCCCAGCAAGTTAGAGGGCTCCAGTTCTCTTCACCCTCCCTGCTTCCCAGCAACTATCTGCCTGCCCCATAGATCTACCGAGTTCCACTGCAGCTCCCAAAGGGACAGAGAACATGGCAATGGACTGGTGAACACAAGTTCTCATTCTCCAACAAAAAACCCCTCTTCTCAACCAAATAGAAACATATGGGAAGAGAGGAGGGAGACAGAGCGCTGCTGGGAATTAAAAACACTACTACTTCCTAGCTTTGACTTTTCCACTCAACGTTGTGACCTCCTACACTTTCAGGAGCATCAGAGCTGGAAGCTCTAATTCTGGCACTCAGACCTCAGATCTTGTACCCTGTGGGAATAATCAATATCCTGACAGAAACGGGAAGGTATGCTGTTGGAAGCCTCAGTCTCGTCCACATAAAAACAAGGAAGCTCTAAGTCTCATGGCATCCCAGCTGTGCACATGCAAAGAACGAACTCTGGAAATTTAGGAAAGAAATTCTTGCGGAAGGTGTGCACATAGATGTTTTTTCCAGGCATATAATTTTCTCTAATTTGATCAATGTCAGCAAAAAGCAGAATAAACACAGAGGCTAATCTGATGTGAACATGGAAGATCACATTTCTAACTGTTTCAATAGGACAAACAACAATTCCGGGAAGGGCTGCTCCTCACACTTAGTCCATCTGAAGCACTCACACTGCTGCAATACGAGTAGTGCGTGTCGAGTACAGAAGGGAGCCAGCTCCATCTTCTGTTGCCCCACGCAGATTATAGCCAAAGAGAACATCTTATTGCTCCATGAGTTCAGTTTTCCACCTCCTCAAGGCTTAACAGGATTTTTCCGCGCTCCGTCACAAAGGCATTCTTCCCACCTTTCTTCGCTACTCCACACTCTACAGTCCCGACTCGTCTCATTGCAACTCGACACGGGGCAGCTCTTGGGTGATGTGCAGCACACGCCACGTCTCTTGTGGGGAAAGGAAAAGGTGGAACATCCAGGAAATGAACCACACAAAAAAATTCAAGGAATTTCTGGTCACGGTTCATCACCCTGACAACCCGACAGCAGGAAAAGTGACAAAATGTTTCTCTTTGAAAGAAACAAGATGCAAAGCTTCCACCTCTGTGAAGAGCACACCCAGGACAGGCACAGATGGCTCATCACATTGGGGTTCGGCGTTATTACTGAGGCTGCGAGCCTACAGCCAGATCAAAGATGGGGACGAATTTCAAGTTCTGACCATGGATCCAGAAGATACTGCCTAAGTTTGGAAGTCTTCTACGCACCTCCGTGTTTCTCACACTACAGCTGCATGTGCTACTCTGCCAACACCCAAGATACACTTTCCTTTTGTCCTATTTACCTCACCTTTGAACGAAATGTTGGGTGGACAAAATACAGTGCCTTCAAGTTCCTCTTGTACCTGGTTTAGAGAAAGAAAAAAGTCTTTAGAAGTGACTTCTAATTAAGCTCACCTACACAACCCAACATAGATCACTGTAAAATTACATCACGGGCACTTAAGCAAAACGTCAGATCTAATATAAGGGCAGATAGCAGAAAAGTAACTGTAAAGGGGAAAAAAAAAACCCACAAACACAAAAAGAAAAGCAGAATGATTATTTTTCAGGTAGGGACATCATAGCCTGCAGTCTTTGATGTGGACAAATTATGACTGTCAATTTTACCTACGCCTCTTCCCGCACAACTAGCGGCATACTTGTAAGAAAACCAGGCTCCAGAAGCTCCACCTCTGGATAGAGGCAGACAACACACCCAGTACACCCAAACAGCTCCAGAAGGGAGACTGCAGAGGACAGAACTTCCTGGTTTAATTGAAGGTTTTGAGGAGGAAACAAAACACACCTTCCTTCCTCTTGCCTTTGTTATTTAGCTAGGGCTTTGTCCCAGCAAAACTCTCACAAACGAAAGGGAAACCAGACACAAGGAACGACAAACAGCTGCATAGCACAGAGGAAGATCAGGAGTTCTTTTCCTACTGACACTCACTTGGCATCAACAACGTCGTAGAGTTTCTTCAAGAAATTAGAGTCTAGTTGATTGTAGTCATTCGTGAGCGTATGGAAGTAAACCAGGACATACTCCTTCACTGCAATATGATCCATGACGTGGATGAAATACAGAAGAGCCTGAGACAGAAAAAAATGGAATTTGTATTTGCAAAGGACTCTTTCACAGTTGCATAACATCTTAATACGCTTCCTTTAATTCATTCACAAATCAGAACTGCAAGGCTGGGTGGCATCATGTTTCAGCTACAAAAGCAAGGTGAATTTTCCAAGTCTTCCACCTGACTCTAATAACTTAGATGTGTCTTTTGTCTAGCTGACCTCACAGATGGAGATAAGTTCTTGCTGTTTCCATGAGAAAACAATTTGACTTCTTCCACTTCACTCTTCATGTCTTGGCAGTTATAGAAGCAGGGCACGTCCCTGTCTCTTTGAGAAGAGAGAGGAGCCCATGTTAGGCCAGTTTATCTAAATACAGTCTAATTCCTCCGTTAAAACAAGCCACCTCAACACACAAAAATGTATTCCCTTATCAAGCTTTGCATCTGCCTATAAAAACAGTTTCTATTTAATCTCTTTTCAGCCTACTACAGATAATGTTTCTAGTATTAACACTAATTACCCCTAAAATCAGACTCTTGCATCCTGAACATTCATATTCAACATACTCAACTCCAGTTTTACAAAGCCTTACCTTTTCCATGTCTATCAATGTTACAGGGATATTCCTTCCAACCACCACCATCACTGTGCGGCCACAGTTGTCTACACCTACAAAAGAAAGAGGAACATGTCTCAACTTCTCTTCAGTTACACCAGGTATCGAGTCGGTCCCTTTCAGATCAGGGAGAACCAGTCACAGCTCAGAATTTTTGCCACACGTCTGGTTTCCACCTTAACAACCAAGGAAATACGCTTGGAGTTACTGTTCTCTCTGTACCAGTAGCACCAGTAGCTATTCTCATCTAAAAAAGGGTGCACCGCATTCAAGAAACTTAAGATTTAAGGACTGCAATTTTATGTTGCTCTGTGTACTGCGCATTTACCTAAACCTCAAGTAATAACATGGTTTTTATTTAAGAAAACCCTTCACTTGCAGTTCTACCACCAAAGCAAACTTCTTGCCAGAAACCAAGCTCTGAGTTCCAGTGCACATTCTCAGAGCACGCCTTACGGACCACCTGCAGCCCAGACAGCCTTGCCTAAGGCGGACTAAAGAATTTAAACTTGCAGCTATTAAGCAGAAGGCATTGCACAGCCTTGGGATTTGCACAAAGATCAAGGTGTCTATCTGGATTTCCCAAAGGCCAAAGATACCCAAGTGCTGAACAGACTTGCTGTGCAGAAACACAGCCATGCTTTCGAGAGCCTGACTACCTGCCTCTTTCTTCCTGTCATGGTGCAAAGCAGCAGAAAGGCACTGGGACTACAGCAAGTTTTTACATCCAGATACGATGCTGCTTAAAGAGTAGGAGTGAACTGAAGAGTATGGGTTCCTCATCTCTGCCTCCCAGGCTGCAAGGACCTCACCGCTATCTTCTCCCACTCAACCCTCCCCAATCTCCCCATCTACTGAACTCAAGGCTGGAAGATGTGCTGCCCACAGCACTGAGCCTTTAGCACTAGGAGACACACACAGAGGAGAGGAACACACATCTAACCTGGGGGAACCAAAGCGAGCCATTTTGTCCAGGAAAGCTGTATTAAAAGTTGCTTTAGTAGCTGCTTATTCTCTACGCTGCTCACCTGAAAGCAACGTTCATTTCTTTGTAATGAAAGGGTGGAGATAACTCAGACCAAAAGAAGCAGCATCTCATACAGAGCACCTTAGGCACTGCCTTAATCTAACATTACTGACTTGCATCTAAAGCTACAGATACTTCAGGATACACATGTACCCTCAGATCATTAAAGCAGAGCAGTTTGGGAGTTTACCACTCACACTTCCGAAGCCAATCAAGAGAGAATTCCTGCTTTACTGCAGAGATGTCGCTTAGTTCTTGGGCAGGCTTCCAGCTTAAAATGACTTATTGTATACTCAAGTCAAAAGAAAATATTATATTTTTATTTTGTATTTTCACTTTCAGACAATATACATCAGTCATTGGTACCTGGAACTTACCTGTCTGGTACAAGGCTTTAAGAGAAGCAATATCAGAGAGGTCTTCAGCTCTCGCCTGACACAGCCAGCGATTGTAACTAGAAAGTGAAAAACATCTGGTCAGATCTAATCCCGCTTTGGATTAGCATTAGAAGCCTGAAGAGGCATATGGAGCAACTATCAAGTTGTTAAAAGAAAGAAGGGGGGAAGGGGGGGGGTGTGGAGAAAAAAAGGAAAAAAAAAAAGATCTGAGTGTCTTAGTTACATGTCTAGTGATTTTCACTAACACCATGAACATGCTCCAACTAGTAACTATAGTGGCATTGCAGTTGGGCTGAAAAGATCTCAAGAGTTTCTTCCATTTAAATACCTCAGTGTAAGTGTTAAAAAAATAGGGAAAAAAATTCTTAAAAAAGTCCAGAAGTCAAACACCACTATGCAGCAACCAGTGTCATGTAGGCATTTTTTTCCCCTTTGAATGGTGAACAACTTAGTGCCTCATGAGATGCAACAAGCCAAGCATCATGACTCAAGGGGACTCCAGCATGGAACGGGCTTCTTAAAAAAGTACTCAAGCCCGTTAGGGTTAGTGGGGTGGAGAGGAGAGGAAAAAAGCCTCAGCATTCATTTAGTTATCTTTCTGTTGTGAAAGACGACAGAAAAATGTTTTGCCACCTTCCCAGAGCCTCAGGAGCAAGTGGTGGTATTGGAAGTGGGTGACCCCACCACAAAAAGCGGTGACAAAGTAGTGACATCTTGTGGCAAAGAGTCAGGCAGCTGGTGGGATGCACCGGGTGTGCCAGGGGGTCGGTCACTAGCTTCCCTTTCCCTCCTGGGGTATTCCCTTCTCCCTTCAGCCCCACGAGGCTACGCAGCGACCCGGGCTGACACCAGGCTTTATCTGCATTTCCTTGCCAGAAGATTGGGCTTATACAGATACCAAAACCATCACAAGGGCTGGCCCCTGAGCAGCTAACACCGAACATTCACACGGACAAGGAAATTCTCACTTCCTCTGATGCTGTTTTTGCAGGGCTGCCTCTGACAACTGTCCCTGAAGGATGAGGCGTCTCTGTTTATCAACATCTCCCTCCATGCGGGCAAAGGCATGGGAGCCAATGAAGGACAGATCTGCCTCCAGACCCTCTTCATCTGAAGCATCTGCAGGAGAAACAGAGGCAGTGTAAAACGTTCACGCTGTGTACAAGACAGTGACACACCACACAGGTACTACACACCTCAGTCAACCAAGCCAGTCGTCACGCCACCACCACGTACCACGGCGCGGCTCCGACACGTCGCCAGGACCACTGACAGTTTAGGGCATGCGACTGATAACTACAGACTCCCTTCAAATGTTGGGTTTCCCTAGAAACTTAACTGGGCAAGCCCTGGTCATCAGCTTGTAACAAAGGGGCAACGGTTAACTCTCAGAAAATAAAGTCTGCAGAGAGAGACTTGGCCTTTACAGTTGTTCTACTTGTCACAAGTGGAAAAATAAGTGTGCAGAAAGAGAGATGCTGCAGCTTTACTCAGTTTAGAAGCTGTTCTGCAGGAAGGACTCACCTCTTGTATCACTGACACTGCCTGAACGGAGGCTGTGCAGCTGTAGAGCTGGTGCTGAGTCTGAATTAGTTTGCAGCACTGTTTACACCGTGACGGTGCCCCGAAGCACAGGCTCGCTTGCTGCTGACAACACCAGAATGCTCCACTGAACTCGATGCCATCACAGAACATCGCTAAGGCTTCTGGTACCACCACCCTGAGCAATCTGGACGAGAACTGAGCTTCCTGGTTCTAGTGTGACATGTTAGAGTAGCAAGGGGACCGAAGTGCAGGATTCCGCTGCGCTCACTCGCTCCTATACAGGAAGCCAGGAATTCCACAAATTATCAGCTACTGGTTGAATGTCTCTCACTGGTCTGCCTCAGCTGCAAGTATCACCCAACCAGCAGTCTGGACAGAGGGAGAGGAAGGACTGGAGTCTGATCAGCAGGAGTAGGTACCTCAGGTATCAAACCATGAAGAGGAAAGTTCAGTGTCCATGTCCTCGTCGCGCATTCAGCCTTATCCCAACCGGCCATGCAACACTAGAAAAACCTTCGAGAGCCATTCCCAGTTCCCTGCTTTGGATGGCTTAAGGCTTCCTCTGAAGAAGGGCAGAACTTTCACAGCACTGCTTAATAAATAAGGTAGAACGTGCTGGCTGTGCCCATTTATATATTAAACTGTTTTGCTACAGGTATCTCAAGCCCTCAACCCTGACACCTCGGCACCCTCCTTACAGACAGACTTGTTTTCACTGGGCCCTGACAGCCATTTCCCAAGCACTGATCTCTGGGCTGATCTACTTCCTCTGTCTTTTAGGGAGTTTCTGCTCGTTTTCCCTGGCCATGTACTAGCTTGAGGCACACGCTGTAGCAAGAGGATAATTTGAGACATTTTGCTAACATATTAGCCAGACCATTAACAGCAATGGTCTTTTTCAGTTGGAGGCTGCACAAGATTCTGCAAAAATTGCCTGCAAAGTTCCTCATCACCTTGGGAGAACACTTGCAAAGGGAATGAACCACCTCGCCTCTCCCTCCAGGAAAGAGGCACGACAACGGTTCTACCGCGTCCTCCAACAACACCGCTCTCCGCAGAAAGCGGAACGCACTGCTGTGGAACACATGAGGCCAACCAGGCAGATGGATACCACCACAGCCTGCCTCGGACGAGGTGGGAAGACATCTCTTTGCTTCCCACGTGCCTTTTCTGTTTTTCCTTTGGCTTTCACACAGAGGTGGTTATTCCAAGGTGCAGCTAAAAACTCACCATCAGGAACACCTGGCTTTTCCGTAATCCTGATCTGCCGCTCCGGTACTACCGGCTCCCCTTCCGCATTGCCAATATCTGCAGGGAGGTAAGGCAAGGATTGTAGCTCTTCTTCCAAGGATCTTGGAAAATACAGAGGCAGCAACTTCTGGTAAGCGGCCTACAAATAAGAAACACGCGTGAAGGTCTATCACGCATCCTTGCTCTTCAGTTGAGTGACACCTGCCTTTGTAGCTGGGACCTGCTCAGAGCTTTGGAGGCCAAGTATCGCTTCCCTCAGCGGCTTATTTTGGGCTGCTACCTGGCCACGAAGGCAGGTAACCTTGATAAAGGTTAACTTTTACTTTTTGCCATGCTGGCAAATGACTTTGAGAGGACTCTGCATGAACTCGGGCACATTGCAGATAGTTCAGCTTTGTAACGAAGTGACAAAATGCACGGACGAGACTGCAGCGAGAGCTGCTTATATTAAAATGCATCACTACACGGATCACCTTTACTGATCTGACTGGGAAAAAATAAAAAGCAACAACCAAGAGAAACCCTCCCCACACAGAGGAAAACAGTGAAAAACCTCTACTGAACATTTTAATACTTCATGTGCTCTCTCCAGCTGCTCAGCAGTTTTAGAACCCTCAGCCAACGCCACGGAACCTGAACACAGTGTGGGTGTTCTGCCCAGGAACTGCCATCAGCACGTCTGGTGCAGGAGCAGAGTCAATATTCCGTCTGAACACAGGTCGTTAAACAGCAAGGCTGTTATTGCAGCAGTTTCAGATGCCTGCAGGTGACCCCTGGGCACGCTAACCCAGCCTTTTTAAAGCACGAGGGACCCAGCATTCTGTAAGGAGGAAACTTTGTAGGAGGAGTTTCCCCTCTGGCTGGCAGGCACCATCCAGCACAACCACATGCTATCAGCTCCAGTACTGGCACCTGTTCATGGCTCAGGATCATAGAAGCCAGAAGCAGAAAGATTCTGAGCACGTCCACAGTGCCTGCTAAGAGCATAAACAGTACTGGAAAGATGCTATGCTGGTAGGAGACGGATGCTGTGGAACCAAAAGTCTCTGCGAAACAAGACAAAGGGGCAATCTGAATCCAGCTCTACAATGCACACGTTACTACTGCTGCAGAGAAGATCACACAAGCCCATGAATTTTGGTGGAACAAACATCAAGGAGATACCTCTTCAAGGTCAGAGACTGCAAACACCACCTTCTCCAGAGTCTCTCCATGAATCTCCAGGAACCTTCTAACCGTGCCTGCAAGGAAGATTACGTGTCATTAGCAAAACAGGAAGAGAAATTTACACACATGACTACAAGTGAGGAAGTCAAGAGAGCGCAGAACAGAATCACAGAATGGTTTGGGTCTCACGAGAACCCAGTAGAGGGGCAGAACCCCTCCCTCGCTCTGCTGCCCACGCTGCTTTGGATGCAGCCCAGGACACGGTTGGCTTTCTGGGCTGCCAGCGCACGGTGCCGGCTCATGTTGAGCTTCTCATCGACCAACACCCCCAAGTCCTTCTCCTCAGGGCTGCTCTCCATCCATTCTCCACCATTCTCCAGGAGACACATCTTCCTCCTCACACAAAACAGCTCCACGGGCTGTATGCAAACATGGATTATGTGGTAGTTTAACACACCAAATGAGTTGTTTCCCGTATTGGAAGTTCTAGCTCCACTCTCTCCTGCTTCTCGCTTTAGAGATGGATACAAAAAGAGTAAAGCTCTCTCTCCTCTATTTTAGCTTACTGGGTATTCCTCAGCCTGTGCAATGTGATTCTATGGCCCTGCAAAATCAAGCCAAATCCTTCCTGTGTGAATTGCCAAAACCAGATATTCCTAGAACAAGTCATTATGCCCTAAGTTACCAGGAAAGCAAGATAAGCAAGCCAAAGCAGAAGTTGGTACGAGACAGAGTCAGCCACACAAAACCTCTGGGGTCAGCTATGCCAAAGAGCCATATAAAAATTGTATTTGTAGATCACGAGATACTCTATTACTCTTTCCGGACTCCCCCAAAGCTTTAGCATAATCCAGGGACACCGTCAAGTTCTTACACATTTGCAGCTAAGGGGGGGGAAAAAAAAAAAGTGTTTTGTAACCCAGCTCCCAGACACGTCCTTGTACAGAGGAAGTCCCTGAGCTGCAATAATCTTGACCCATGCCAGGACTCTCAAGTGCTTTCCTATCAGACTGCCAGGAGAGAAAGTGTCCAAACAAACAGGCGGGTCTAGCAGTATTTTATCCAGCAGCATACAGCCCTACAGAGGCAACAGAAGAGAGCCCTGAAGGAAAGAAGTCTGCTCTGCAGAGAACACATTGGCAAGAGTTCTTCAAGAGACAGCAGTTCAGAGGGGAAAAAAAAAAAAGCTATTTTCAAATCCTTTCTGTACAGAAACTCATGTGTAATTGGGTTGACCTGCAACGTTACTTCACAGGACAAATGCAGCTGTGTGGTTCCACAGCAAACAGTTTTCTGAGCCTGTGTGAGCAGATGTTTTCAGATGTCTCACTCGACAGGCAGACAGCAGAGAAAATAATGGACAAATCTGCTTCTCCAGGGTGAGCACCTCTGCTAAGCAGAGGGTAAGAATGATTTCTACTGTCAGCTTGCACAGCCAGAGGGAAACTTCCTCCTTCCAGCTGCAGCAACTCTCCCGTTGTGCAGCAGTACCACGCAGGAAGGCCCAGGGACTGGGTGGTGGAAAGCAGACAGGAGCAGGCCAATAGAAATGAAAGTCAAGAGAAAAGGTTAAAGTAAGAACCAGGTAAGTATATATTATTCTTCCCTGAGCACTTAAGTAATAAAGTATTTTTATCCTAGGAACTTTTTGGATTTGTTTTTAGTAGCCTCATTTTTTTTCTTTAATAGAGTTTCCTCTTGAAACCAAGCAAGTTTGAAAACTTTTAGCATCTATGATGCTTTTTGGTCAGAAGTTCCACAAAACAAATAGTGTAGGCACAAAGAACTATTTCCCCTTGTTTGCTCTGAATCTGATTCATACGAACATTGTCTGAAGGGTCTTACTTTGGGAGACAACGAACAGCTGGTTCCTCTCCACCCTTCCCACACCACTCATGAGTTTATGGACACCTGTCACGCTCCCTTCGAGTTCCTTGTATTCCAGTCTGAAGAAGACTTCAGCTTACTTTGCTATTTCTTGCCTTTCCCTATTCCTGGTGACCTCCTCAGCTTCTAGTTCTACTGCTTTCTTTTTGGATGTGCAGCTCTAAAGGGTGGACAAGGCACAGATTTATGTAACGTTCTTCATTTTGTCGCGTGCTCCTTCGCTTTCTGTTTTGAGCTCCAGTGAGCTGTCACTTTCCTGGCACTATTGAAACAGCAATATTTTGCTCCCTAGGATTAGCCCACCGTTTTACATGCGAAGGCAGAAGCACACAGGGGTGGGTCAGTGGCAGAAGAATATCACTTTACGTTTTGATACGCTGATGACACTAAAATGACAAACGAAATTTGCTCTGTTGCTTGAGGTCCATCTACAGCTATTCACAGCGAGGCCTCATCTTTGCTATTCTGAACCATTTTCTGGTACCAGCAGACACTCTCACCTCACTTTTCCGCATCTTTTCCAGGTTATTAATGAATATATTGAAGACTGCAAATTCCAGTACAGATTCACACAGATCTTTACTGACAACCTCTCAGCAGAAAAAGCTTCATTTGTTTTTATCCTCCATTTCCTGATCAACCATGAAAGGTCTTACCTTTTTACAGCCTCTAACGAACTACAGCCCCTGAAAAAAGGTTCCCCCGTATCAGCAGCAGCCTGTCAGAGGTAAGTGACGTGCTGCATCCTGCCATCCAGTTCACATCACTCGCCAGCAAACTTACGCAGTGCTATGTGGGTTGCATCCTCCAAGGGGTAGCATCTTTTCAGAGAGTTAATGACACAAAATCCTACAGAGCACATTGCCTGTTCCCTGAAATCCAGAAAGAAACAAATAAAGAGACGGTCAGATGAGAGCAAATGTCTGTCAGTAAAGTAGATAACACCAGGACTTTTTTTCCTGCCTCTATGCTGCAGCAACCCTCTTTCAGGTCTTTGCAGAAGGATTCTTTCCTGGCAACATGCCACTGTTAAGCAGAGAAGGAGGGAACCATTAATGACTCCACACTGTCTCCTCTTGTGTTTGTTCTCAGATTTCTCCTCCTATCTCAGCTACATTGTTCCTGCAGTTTCTCATGTCCTGAATGAAGTAGTTCTTCCCTCAAGCTCCCTGAAATCCTTTCCAAAACATTTTCCTTCCTGTGTAGGATTGACAGTGAGGAAAAGGAGGGGAAAAGACAGCGCTCTTTACTGCAAACATTCTCCTGTTCCTCCACCTGACCCATCACTCGTTTTGTCAGAGGTGTGGACACAGACCAAGGTGGCTTACTCAAGCCCAGGTACAGTTAGACAATCATTGGCATGGAGCGAAACATACTTTAAGATCAGGAAGATGCTTCCAGTAGAAAGGCATGTTTTTAAAGGAGTAAAGCAGAGGTGTTGCCAACAGTCACCAGAGGAACGTGAGCAAGCTCAGAGTTGGCAGACAATTTCACAAGCATCAAAAGTTACTCTAGAGAACAGATTGACTGAAAGGCACTCAGAATTCAGTAAGCAGAATTATGAGACTTTTTAAATTGTTTCTAAAATGTTTCTTGTTAACTTCTGAGGCAGAAAAAAACCTGGTGCCTACTAGAAACCTTAGCTGTAATCTTGATTGTGAAAGAGTTACTATTGCATTGCAGCACACGGTCCAGACTTGGAAGAACTGGTTAGTGTATTTCCTGACACTGCTCGTTTAGGTATTTTTTGTGACTGCTACGATTAAAACAGCCATCACAGGAGAAAACCAGCATGTAGGAAAAACACAGAAAAACAGAAAGCAGAAAGATCAAAACACCTGTTAGCTAAGAGAAAGTAGAAAATACCACAGATGAAAGAGGTAAAACTACAAACTCATCTGCAGCAACTGTGGGTTTAGAAACAACCTCCCGCCCTGACTCAGAGCTTTAGGTGGCCGTCGTACGAACGCAGAAGGGCCAAAAACCAGAGCTGACAGCGCCACAGATCTGCCTGCGGGCCCGTCTGCGCGAGGCGGCTGCTTGA